GGCCTCGATCGAGGATCGACCCAGACGATCGATCCTCCTCCTCCTCCTCCTCCTCCTCCTCCTCCTCCTCCTCCTCCTCCTCAATCGAAGGAACGGCCCGGAAACCCGAGCCCCTCCCCAAAGCGGCCCTTTTCGCAGCGTCTTAACTGCATTGCGGGGCGCTCCTCACACGGCTCCGCGGCCACGCGGGGAGCCTCTGCCCCCTCGCCGCACTGCTTCTGAGGAGAAGGTCTCGCAGCCTGCGCCGCTGGCAGCTGCTCTGGGTCGGACACAGACCCTTCACCAGGCCAGTCCTATCGCGACTACGGACGGGCCGACCAACAATCGAGATGCTGAGATAAGGACCGCACCCCTCCGTGGGAGAAGCTTTCGGCTCCAGAGCGTCGCCGTCGCCGTCGCCGTCGCCGTCATCGTGGTGGTCGTCGTCGTCGTCGTCCCAATTCAGGGTCGGCGGCGCTGGCCGCAAAGCCTTCCCAAAGAAGACTGCGTCGGACTCGGAAGGGGCTCTGGTTGTTTCCTGGCTGGTCTCCAGATCTGGGCCCGAGAACCTCCTCGTGGCCGGCGCTCGCCGGCGCCAGAAGTGCCCCTCCGTGCCTCATGCAGCGATCGTCGTGGCAGCACGATGGCTGTATGCAGCACCATGGCACTGAGGTCTTCGGTGGATTTGGGTGACCCAAAAGGGGGTCCAGCTGCAAGGGGGTGGTGCAATGGAGTTGGGGCAATGTGTTGCAAATGTGCTGCGCTGGAGAACTGTATTGCATTGTGCTGCAGCTTATGTCTTGCACGCGTTAATCCAGCAATGCACTTGCGCCCCGGAGTGTCTTGCACGCCCCAAACGTATTGCAACCCCACAGATATGTTGCACCAAATCTATTGCACCACCCCCTTGTCGCTGGACGAGGGGAGTGCCGAAGTTCACTTGGGTTATCTCGGGCGTGTCCCCCTACAGAGGGATTTTCGACGAAAAATAAAAACAATACCCCCAAAAAGTCCAAACATATACTCAAAAAATAGTCCCTGGACTATTTTTGGACGATTTTTTGACTATTTCGGGGGTATATTTCCTTTTTCGTAAAAAAAGTCCCCCTGTAGGTGGACAAGCCCGACATAGCGCTTGGGGGAGGGGGCGCGATGCAGCACGCTGCCACCGAGGCGTGGAGAGCTCCCTGCGAGGCCGCGGGGCGTGCGCGGGGCGTGCCGAACTCAGCGGGGGTGAGGTCGGGCACGTCCCCCCCCTGCGGATTCTGGACGAGAAATTAACAACACAGGGCAGCTTTTCATACACAGGATTTCTATAAAGAAATATGTGATTTAAACTACATGATTCATTTAGGAGCACATTCATGCATGAACTCATCTTAGTTTTTAGTACTAAATCCCTGCTGTTTTAATACATGATCCGCACGCGGAGCATGTATCAAACACGGCACTATAGTCAAAGCATGCACCCCAAAATTGCAACGATGTTCAGAAAAATCGTCCCCGGACTACTTGTTGGGACTATTTTTGCACATCCCTCCTGTAGAGGCACAGGCCCGACCTCAATCGGGGATGGACAGACCTCCCTTTAGTAAAACGTGGTTTGGTGAAAACGACCTCGGGCCCAAACCTGGCGGGCGCAAGCCTGGAAAATGACGGCCGCGGCGCCCCCTGGAGAACCGCAGACGGACCATTCACTCGTCGACGTGCCAGGGCAGGAGGTCTGCCCACCCCCGACCTCAAGCTGGGGGGAACCCCCTGCGGAGCTCTGCAAACGCGCGAGGGGCGTGCCGACAGGGGGCGGGCAGGGCAGGGCCGCGGGGCGCCGCACGAGGACCGCGGGCCTCCGAGCGCCTCGCGGCAGCCGTCCACGGCGGGCGCCCTCCTCGATCGCGGCCTCCCCGCTCGAAGGGTGGAGGGCCGCGGGCGCTCCGGAGCCCGGGGTCGCCGGAGAGCAGCGCGACGCCCAGGGGGCGGCGAGGGCGAGGACGAGAAGGGGAGGAGGAGGAGGAGGAGGAGGAGGAGGAGGAGGAGGAGGAGGAGGAGGAGGAGAAGGAGGAGAAGGAGGAGGAGGAGGAGGGGGGCAAGGAGAAGAAGGACGAGAGCGATAGGGAGGACGAGGACGAGCGGAGGGAAAACGGTAGAGTGCGAGCTTGTCCGCCAGCGGGGACGCCTGTTCCAGGGCGGACGGCGAGTTTACACACCCCTTTGGTGGCACGTCGGGGTAAGACGGGATGACGACTAATACAAGAAATGGGAGAGAACGATTACTAACATAGTTTTCTGCTATTTTCCTAAGAACCAGCCTCGAACGTATCGACTTGTTACCAGCCTCGAACGCATCCCTATCCTTAAGATTTACACGCCAAAAGGCGATGATAATCTTGGGGGTTCGCCCTCAAAAAACAAGGGAATCCCTAAGATCGGCATCGTGATGAGGAGATGCCCAGCATAGTGACAGGGATATCTTCCAGGCTGGTAGACTTGCCCCCATTTGGACAGGCGCCCCTGACGGCAGAGCAGGTTATGCTGCACCGCTCTTCCCCCGCTGGGATGGCGAAGACAAGGACGACGCGATTCGCTCCGAGTGTCGGCCCCGCCGGCCAAACACGAGGGTTAACCCTGCACGTGCGGGCCAGATCCAGCGGGGGCTCCAAAGTTGAAGGGCGCCTACAGCCAGGCGGCAAGCTCTGGAGGTTCAGAGTGCACAGGTCCTGCCGTGCCGCAGGGTGGAATGTTCTGCTTCCGCCAGGTTCCGCCGGCCTTCAGTCGGGCCTGTCCCCCTACAGGGGGATTTTCGACGAAAAATAAAACATACCCCCAGAATAATCGAAAAATAGTCCCTAAATAGTCTGGGGGCTATTTTTTGAATTTTTCTTGCCTTCTGGGAACATGTTAGGGGTACGTTTTATTTTTCGTCGACAATCCCCCTGTATGGGGGACACGCCCGACATAACGCCAGCCTCACCTTACTTTCGCCAGCCCTCCGCCGCCTTCCGCCGACGAATAGAGAAGTCACCCCCTCGACATCCCTCTCGAAGGTGAGAGGCCCCTGCGGGGGCTGTCCCGCACCGCAGCGCCGATGGGGCCAGGACGGCCCAAGAGGGTCCCAAGACGGCCCAAAGCGGGGCCCAAGACAGCCAAAGGTCGCCCCAAGAGGGCCTCAGGAGAGGCCAGGCGGGAGAACGAACACGAGCCGAAGTCCAGTCTTCCCGCCCTATGCAGCCCCCAAGAGCCCTGTCTTGCAGGAGGCGGTCGCGGACGGGGGCGTCGACGTGGGATTCGAGTCTGGGGGGACGCGGGCTGGCCTGACAGGGCCACCTGAAAGATCAGGAGGCACAGCCTGGAAGTCGACGCGAGCTCTCGCAGCAGACCTCTCACGAGAACTGGACCCCGCCGAACCTGCATCACGGGACTCCGTGGGAAGGCGCCGTCAGGCCCGAGCTCGGGCGAACTGCTGTTGGTGCCTTCCGCATTCGCAGGGGGGAAACAAGTCCTGAGGGAAACGCGTCCTGGACCCTGGGATACGGATACCGCAAGTTTGCGTCGTGTCGACCCAGGCGATGGTTTTTGACACCGCGGGAATCGTTCAACCTTGAACGATCGGCCGCTGCCGCAACGTCCGATCGTTCAACATCGATCGATTCCGGGTCGCCGGCGGCGTTCAACGTTGAACGCCGGCGCTGGGGTCGCCGCTGGTCGACACGACGCAAACCTACCGTACGGATACGGATCGCCTGTGCGGGCATGCGCCCGGGCCTCTCAAGGGCGAGGCGGGTGAGGCCGTGGCCTCGCATGAGAAGCTTGCGCGCGTCGGGGGTCTACTCAGGACAACGTGTACTTCAGGAGCTGATTTCCCGACAGTCCCCACTCATCCGCTTTCACATGATGTAGCCACGTCGTCTCGTTGGAATCGTAGTTCTTGTGGTGTGAGACTGGGGCCGTTCCCAGAGACCAGCTCTTCATCCTGAGTCGCTTGCTGACGGTCCCAAAAAGGTTTAAAGAAAAGTTATACTCGAAAAATGATCCCCAGGCTATTGTTGCACTATGTTTGGGCTATGTTAGGGGTATTGTTCTATCTTTCGTCGAAAGTCCCCCTGTAGGGGGTCAGGCCCGACTTAATCCTAAGCCGCTTGCTGACGGTCCTGGGGCCCGTGGAGGGCCCTGGGAGCCCGAACACGGCGAACAGCCTCGGGACCCGCCTCCCTCGGCACCGGCTGCCCCTCTCACGACCCAGGACCCCTTGCGCTGTGACAAACAGCACGACGGGAAATTGTTCGCTAAAGTGTGTTTCAGCAGTGTATTGGTTTGTTCGATGTGTTGTCTTAGATTCCAATCTGCCAAATAACGAGCGTTTGCAAGATGGATATGATTAAAGAATCAATAACACGGTAAATAAAAGTAAGTCGGAATCCGCCTAAAGAGATCGATCAATCACGATACCAAAATTATGTTTTCACGGGGCCCTTACAAGGCGTCGGGACCGTCAACAAAACGGCTCAGGATGAACTGACGGTCCCGGGGAAAGGGTCCAACCCTCTGGGGGTCGACGTTTTGGGTAGGGGATCGACTGCAGAATTGACTTACCCCAGAATTGACTTTCTCATCGATACCGTGAAAAGAATCTGCAGAATAGCCCGTAGATCTACGGAGCATTCTACGCATGCTTCGAAGAGTCGACGGGGAGTCCATTCTGGAGCAAATCGATTCTGTAGTCGATCCCCTATTCGAGCTGTGCGAAAATGTCGCGACGTCGGTGGTCTGCGGGCGACCCCAGGCCCGGCGCACGCGCGGGCCCGTCGAGCAGCTCAGGGGCGCCCGGGCCGCGAGTATTTTCGAGGGCCCCACAGGAGGCGGGACGACCGACCGACCGACTGACAAGCCACACACCGAGCGGTGCGTGGGCATGAGTGCTGGCTTTTAAGGAAGAGGCGGGACAACAGCGGGGCAACAGCGGGAGAGACTGGCATTGTGGAGGCGGGGCATCAGGGCATTGTGGAGGAGGGAGGAGGAGGAGGAGGAGGAGGAGGAGGAGGAGGAGGAGGAGGAGGAGGAGGAGGAGGAGGAGGAGGAGGAGGAGGGGGAGAGGAGGAGGAGGAGGGGGAGGAGGAGGAGGGGGAAGGAGGAGGAGGGGGATGGAGGAGCAAGCGCAGGGGCGAACTCAGGGTCCCCCTCTGGAAGCGACGGTCCCCCAGGACCCTCGCGGGTCGACGCGGCTCGAAGAGGAGCGCAGAAAAAGATGGGGTCCGAGGCTCCGCGCGTGATGTTTCTCGGGGTTTGCCCTCTAAGACGAAGGCAGAACCGAGGCAAAATCGGACGAGAGGGAAATCGAGAATCTCTGAGAAGCGGCGGGTGGTTTGGCGGACGCGTCGGGCACCGCGGCCGTTTCGGAGCGTTCCAGAACGCTCTGAGAGCGTTCCGGGGCCGCTCTGGACCGATGTATCTCGATGCGAGGCCTGCCTGACAGCGTCCCTCACCTGCGACAGCGAAAGACCCCAGCTCCAGCGAACTCGAGCCTTGCGCTCCCCTCGGCAGCGCTGAGACGCGCCCCCCCCGTCGCCCTCGCCCTCGCCGCCCCCCCCCCTGGCCATCGCTCGGACGGCCATTTCCCGTGCTTTTTTTAAAGGTTTCGTGCGTGGCTTTTTCGCCCAATGGTCGAGGATGCTCCTCGAAGGTCCTCGCCGAGAAAAAACTGCACACGTCCGAGCGATGCCAGGCCCCTGAGACCCGGCGTCTCGAAGGAGTTCACACATCGTGGACAACCGCAACTGGAGCCCTGGAGACCAGCCTTCTGTGGCCTCTTTCCAGCCGGGTCGACATGCCCGGGCCCTGGGGCCCGAAGTCGGGCGAGGACGTCCGGCGCGACAAAAAATTGCAGACTTCTCTGGCAGCCAGGGGCAACGATGAGAGGGGACTGGCATAGAGTCGGGGCCTTGACCTAAGGAACCCCAAATAAGGAACGAGGCCCCTTTTTCCCATAAGTTCAACCTCGATGTCCCATGGAGAACCTCAGGAAGACCTGAGGCAAACTGTGAAACAATCAAGGAACACCGAGCCCCTCCCCAACGAAAAGGGTTCCTTCTCCAGCGCCCCGACTGTAGGGGGGGGCGCATCCACCTGGAATTGGCGACACATCGCCGGCAGATCGGCGAGAGGCCCCCGATCGTGCATCCGAGCGTTCCTGGGCAGGCTTGGGGCCACTGGCCCCCTGTCCGCATCCGTGGGCGATTGGGGGTCGACGCGCTAGAGTCGAGGCGTTGACCTAAGGAACCCAAAATAAGGAACGAGGCCCGTTTTTCCCATAAGTTAACCTGCGATTTCCGATCGAAAACATGAGGAAAACCTGAGGCAAGCTGCGAAACACTTAAGGAACGCGGAGCCCATCCCCAACGAAAAGGGTTCCTTCTTCAGGGCCCCGACTGTATGCCTATTCCCCCCCTTTGTCGCTGCCCCTGCGGTGGGCCTAGCTTCAGCTGAGCCAGAACGCCTCGCCTCTGCTTGACCCAGGGCCCTCCCCGGAGGGCCCGCCGGCCTCGAGCATGGGGTCGCAGCTGCCGCCCTCGTCCGTGGCGCTCGTTGCCAGGCTGCAGCGCGCGACGGCGCACCCGGCCTCTCGAAGCGCGCACGCGGGGGGGGGGTGCGTCGCTGACTGGAGGGCGACTGCTCGGGCGGAGAGTCGTCGCTTCATGGAGGGCGTCGCTCAACGGAGGGCGACTTAATGGAGGGGAGTGTGGAGAGGGGGGGGGGCGTCGCTTACCGGAGGGCGATCAAAAAGGGAGGGGGAGAAAGGTGCACTGCTCGGGCGGGGAGAACGGGGGAGGGGCGGGGCGGCCTCCGAGGAAGGCCCCGAGGCCGTCTTCCGCGAGAAGGCCCCGGTGCACGTGGAGGCGTGGAAAACTGCCAGAGGTCTGCCTGCAAGGGCTCCCGCACTCTCATACAGTCGGCGCGTTGGCCTCAAGAACCCTAGATAAGGAGCGACGCCCCTTTTTCCCCATAAGTTAAACTTCGACGTTCCATGGAAAACCTCCGGAAAAGCTGAAGCAAATTGTTAAACAATCAAGGAACACCGAGCCCCTCCCCAACGAGAAGAATTCCTTTTTCACCTCCCCGACTGTAAGGGAATCCCCCCTCCCGCGGACGCAGACTTCTGCGTGCATCCCCCCCTTGCTCACCGAGGCTACTGCCCTGGTGCCACCTCGAGGATGGTGCAGTTCCAGCATGGCAGCTGCCTACCCCCCTTATTGCACGCGTGCCCGCTCAAGGATGGTGCACTTCCAGCATGGCCACGAATGCCTGAAACACCCTTCCACGCGTGCCCGCCCGAGGATGGTGCTCGTCCAGCATGGCAGCTACTGCGTGAATCCACTTCCACGCGTGCCCGCCCGTGGATAGTGCACTTCCAGCATGGCAGCGAATGCGTGAACTGACCCTTCTTCCACGCGTACCCGCTCAATGATTGCGCGCTTCCCGCATGGCTGCTACCTCCTAGACCCGTATCCCACGCGCACCCGCTCGAGCATCGCGCGCGTCCTGCATTCCTGGGCGCTGCTCCCAAGCGCTCCAGGGCCTCTCAAGCCACGATCCCTTGTTTAAGGACTACGGATCATATGCGTCCCGAGCTTTCAAAACGGCCCGTGCAAGCAACCAAGGACGCCAAGAAAGATGGCCCAAAATGTCTAGATGACGGCCCAAGATGGCCGCGAGGCGGCCCACTGGCCGAATATTGCTTCAAGACGGCCCAAGATGCCTCCAACAGAACCCAAAAGGCCATCAGAGGACCTCCAACAGGGTCCAGAGAAGCCAAAATCATCGTTGCGCCTTCGGTGTTAAACCAATTATCGCATTCTCGCCTTTTCGGGCTGCCGCCAGCTCAAGACGGCCCACTAGGACTCCACGATGGCTCAAGAGACTTCCAATACGGCCCCAAAACTGGTCAAGAGGGCCTCCCACGGGTGCCACGACGGCCTCAAAAGGCCCTCGTGCGGCCCAAGACGGCGCCGAGACGGCCCCTCGACGGCCCCCATGCACCCACCATGCGGCCAAAGGGGCCCCAAGACAGCCTAAGAAAACCCCAAGCCAGCATAAGAGGACCCCAAGACGGCCCAAGAAGGCCCCACGGGACCTCAAGACTGCCTCACCAGAGGCCAAGGCAGCCCCAAGACGGCCAAACGCGTTTCATCATCGCCAGCGTCCATCTTCCTCCTCTTCCTCCTCATCATCACCACCATCATCAACATCATCACCACCACCACTACGATCATCACCATCATCATCATCATTATCCTCATCATCGCCGTCGTCATCATCACCATTAACCCTGTGCTCCCGAGAATAATCCCCCGGGGATAATAAAGTTCGGGGGGTCTGGCGGGAACAATCAACGATCTTCCCGGCAAAGGTGATGATGACGATGATGACCCTTGGCGCTCGTATAGACTGACCATGTAGATCTTGGCACATGACTGACTCGAGACATCTCGAGTCTCGTGGCTACAACTTGCCTGCGCAAGAGAGGTCCTTGGCGCTCCTGGCCAAGAAACCTCTCTTGCGCACGACCTCGAACCACTCGCCCACGCAGGCCCGGCACCCTTTGGAGCCGTCCTTGCACGGGAGGCACTTGGTGCAGGCCTGGGCAGCAGCGCTTGCCTCCTCGAAGGTGGCGCGTTTCGGCTCGACCGCCGTGGGGTCCTTGAAGGGCTTGGACTTGGCCTTGCTGTTGGCCTTTTGCCTTGGCCTTGGCCAAGTCGTTGTCGCTGGCCGACTTGGGCTTCTTGATCCACTCGTTGCCTCGGGCGCACATCGCGTTCGCAACTTCCCAAGGGGATGATCAAGTTCGGCCTCCGCGCCCCGCTCCACAATTAAATCCTACTGATACGGGATAATAAATACTCAGGGGGCTAAGGGGGGTATGATTTATTATCGGGGGTACCGGGTTACCACTACAAGCATCATCACCATCACCATCATCAACAGCAGCTTCATCACCACCACCAGCATCGTCACGACCACCATCACCGCCATCGTCATCGTCATAATCATCATCATCGTCATCATCGTCGTCATCATCATCGCCATCACGACCATCACCAGTAGCATTATCATCATCATTATCATCATCATCATCATCACCATCGTCGTCATCTTCATCATATCATATCGACATCAGCAACGTCGTCGTCATCATCAGCATCATCACCACCACCACCATCACCGTCAGCATCATCATCATCATCATCATCATCATCATCATCATCATCATCATCATCATCATCATCATCATCATCGTCAGCATCACCATCAAAATCGTCATCGCCAGCATCATCATCAGCATCACCATCATCGTTCTCATCACCCTCACCATCAGCATCATCATCATCATCACCACCACTATCAGCATCGTGATCAGCATCAAGATTATCAACGTCATCATCAGCATCATCACCATCATCGTCCTCATCACCCGCACCATCAGCATCATCACTTTCATCATCACCACCACCACCACTATCATCATAATTATCATCATCGTCATCAGCATCACCATCATCATCATCATCATCATCATCATCATCATCATCATCATCATCATCATCATCATCATCATCATCGTCGTCATCATCATCATCATCATCACCATCATCGACATTATCATCACCATCATCTTCAACACCATGGCCATCATCGTCATCAGCATCGCCATTATCAGCATCAGCATCATCGACCATCGATCACCGACCATCTATCACCGACCAGTATCATCAACATCAGCACCCCCATCATCATCATCATCATCATCATCATCATCATCATCATCATCATCATCATCATCATCATCGTCATCTTCCCATCGTCATCATCATCCTCACCATCCTCATCACGGCTCCCCCAAGCCTGGAGACACGAAGTGTCACACGTGACGGTCTCCCGTGCCCCCTCGAAAAGTCGCCACCCAGAATGCTGAGCTGGAACGGTGGCGGGACTTGCCGCAGGTTGCTGGATCCGCCGCCCCCTGTCGATTCATTGCAGGGGTGCCTGGCGTGCTGGACTTTTTAGGTTTTGGTTTTGGTTCTTTTTCCAAAAGAACTCCCCCTGGGGCTCTGGCGCGTCCCGCCGGCCACCCGGAAGGATGCCGAAAATGTGCCCAGAGGCGGTTGCAAAAGGTTGTTCCATTCCAGACGGCTCCAAGATGGCCCAAGATGGCATCCAAGACGCCTCCAAGAGGGCCAAGATGGCCTCCAAGACGGCTAAGATGGCCCCAAGATGCCTCCAAGACGGCCCAAGATGCACCCAAGACGGCCTAAAATGGCCTCAAGGTTGCCCAAAGCGGCCCAAGAGGCTCCCAAGAGGCCTCCGAGACGGCCCAAGAGGCCTCCAAGAGGTCCTCCAGGAAGGCCCGAAGAGGCCAAAATCATTTATTTTCCTTAGGTTTTTGAAGGATGTTGGTACTTGCGCCTTTTCGACTTTCCGACGGCCCAAGATGGCCAAAGAGGCCCCAAAGGTCGCCCCAAGATCGCCCAAGAGGCCTCCAAGATGGCCTCATGACGGCCCAAGAGGCCCCCAAGACGGCCCCAAGAGGGCCCCAAGACGGGCCAAGAGGCATCCAAGACGCCCAAGATGGCCTCTAAGACGGCCCCGAAGCGCTCCAAGAGGGCCCCAAGTCGGCCCAGAGAGGCCCCCAAGACGGCTCCCGACGGCGTCAGACGTGCCAGGAGCCCACCAAGACGGCCGAAGATGGCCTTAAGATGGCCCAAGACGGCCCAAGATGCCTCCAAGAGGGCCTCCAGGAAGGCCCGAAAAGACCAAAATCATTGATTTCCCAAGAGATTTCGAAGGATTGTGGCATTTGCTTTTTGTTCGGCCTTCCGACAGCCCGAGACGGCCCAAGTGCCCCCAAAGATCGCCCAAGACGGCCCCAAGAGGCCTCCAAGACGGCCGAAGAGGCCTCCCAAACGCCCAAGATGGCCTCCAAGACAGCCCAAGAGTCCTCCAAGACGTCCTCCAAGAAGGCCCGAAAGGGTCAAAATGGCCTCCGGACGGCCAAGATGACCTTCAAGATGCCCACGTGTTCCCCGAAGGCTTTCCAAACCGATTCGGGGAGCACATGGTCCGATAGCTTGGCAGGTCTGGCCTCAACGTTCGGCCACGTAGGCGCTTCGAAAAAGGCAGGGGGCGGCGGTGGTTCGCCGTAGGCGTCTTCGATCATGTAGTATAAGAAGGTATGAGACAAACTGCTACAAAATACTAGATTAAAACAAAAACAAAAAAACATACAGTATCACAATAAAATGCGCTACCATCCAGTATAATACAATCCAATACAATCTCAGATCTTCAATCACACACACACACGAACACACACACACACACATTCAGGAATGTGGGCCTTCTCGCGAATAATCGCATGCATGTTGATAACTGTCTCACGCTCGCGAGTCGACCACGAAGACTGCCCCCTTATACTGTGTGCAGTGACGGCCGGCCAGCATAACATGTTCTGATCATGCTTCTGTCCAGCGCCGATCCCCTCCCTCGCAGCCCACCGGGCTGCCTGGCTCTGGCCCAGCGTATGCCCGGCCTGGCTGTGGCCCACGGTGTGCCTGCGGGGCAACGAGAAGGGGGGACTGGCTTCGGGGGGGTGGGGAAGTGGGGAACATCGAGCATGAACCGGCGATGCATCGCCCATGGACCGGCAATAGGCCCCAGGTAGCCAATCCACATGTCGTTCCTGGTCAGGCTGGAGCTCTCGGGCACCTAGTGGCCATCAGTTGGCGATTGGGGGTGGATGCATCCCCCCTGAGCCTGCCCCCCCGATGACCCTCGTCGTCCAGCCTCCGGGCCAGAACTCGGGACTCTGGCGGCCGCTCGGGGCGCTCTGGGCACTCCCGGAATGCTCTCGGCGAGGCGCAGCTGCTGGAGAGCACCCCGAGGCTGGGAATCCGCCGAGAACCGACGGAGACGCCCGAACCCCTCGAACCTCGAGCCTGCCCCCCCCCTAGCGTTGCCCCGGTGCACCCTGCCAGCAGGCTGTGGTCCACGCTGTGCCCCGCCTGGGGGAACCAAATGCTCCGAGACCGCTGCTCCCCAGACCTCTCCTGGGGTGCGCCGTGACCAGAACATCGAAGAGATGAGGAGGAGGAGGAGGAGGATGAGGAGGAGGGAGGGGAGGAGGAGGAGGAGTGGGGGAAGGGAGGAGGAGGAGGAGGAGGAGGAGGAGGGAGGAGGAGGAGGAGAGGAGGGGAGGAGAGGAGGAGGAGGGAGGAGGAGGGGAGGAGGAGGAGGAGGAGGAGGAGGAGGATGAGGAGGAGGAGGAGCAGGACGAGTCAGGAGGAGGAGGAGGAGGAGGAGGAGGAGGAGGAGGAGGGGGAGGAAGACGAGGAGGAGGAGGAGGAGGAGGAGGAGGAGGAGGAAGCAGCGGTGTATCGGTGTACCTGCTCCTCCCCCGTCGGCTGCACGCAGGAGCGAGACCCTGGGGCAAGGGCGACCTCTGGGGCGCGCGGCCTGCCGCCCGCCGCGTGCGACACTGCGACTACGACGGCAGCGGCCAGCGTGCTCTGGTCTGTGGTGGGCTTGTCTTCCACCACTGCCACCACCACCAGAAGTACGAGGGGAAGGGGGTCCTCCTCCTTCTCCTCCTCCTCCTCCTCCCCCTCCTCCTCTCCTCCTCCCTCCCTCATCATCCTCCTCCTCCTCCCCACCCCCCCTCCTCTCTCCCCTCCTCCTCCTTCCCATCCTCCTCCTCCTCCTCCTCCTACCTCCTCCTCCTCATCCCACACCACCACCACCACCTCCTCCTTCCTCCTCCTCCGACCTCACTCCTCTCCTCCTCCTCCTCCTCCTGCCTCCTCCGCCTCCTCCTCCTCCTCCTCTCTCCTCTTCCTCCTCCTCCTCCTCCTCCTCCTCCTCCTCCTCCTCCTCCTCCTCCTCCTACCTCCTTCCCCCTCCAACTGATGGTGGTGTTGGTGGAAAACAAGCCCATCATCAGTCTGGCCCCCGCGCGCCCCCCGACGGCCGCGCAGCAAAGGCAGGGTCAGTCAGCATCGATTCGGCAAGTCGGATCGGGATCGAATCGACATGTACATCGGATGAGCATGTTTAACCAGACCCCTATCCCCACTCGCGTGGCCTGGGCCCCACTGGCCAGTTTACCCTCTAGATTGGGATATAGGCCGTTCCCTTCGGGCTTCGAGGGGTGTATCCCCAACTGGGGTGGTAATTTGGTGGGGGCCTCGAAGGGGATGAGGATGAGGATGAGGGTCGGTTAAACGATACTAAGCGGATCGGTCTGCATCGGTACAGCATCGAGATCGGATCCGATCGGCCGCGCCAAGATGCATAGCAGCGCCGTGCAAGCATCGGGACGCATCGGACCGTCAGAACATCGGGATCGAATCGGATCGCGCTGGCCGGAATCGGCATCGAACCGGATCGATCGGATCGGAATGGACCCTGAAAGGTCACTCCAACGAAGGGTCACTTTTATGGTCAGGAACTTGTGCTTAATCATCGTCGCCCCAGAGGCCCTGGAAACACGCTGTGCCTTGCAAGCGGATAGCGTGTCGCTCCGCTCCGCGGGGCGGGATGCTGGGAAAGGCTCGGGACGTTGACGCCTCGGGGCCGCAAATCGAACGTAATTAGCGTTTCGCGCCGTGGCGCGGTGGGCCAGCCCTGGCGGAGCGAGACGCTAAGCCGAAGTTCCCGACACCACGTGCAGACTGACCTTGAGTCGGGCGTGTCCCCCTACAGGGGGAGCTTCAACGACAAATGAAACACACCCCAAAAAAACCCAAAGAACCAACAATTCAAAAACATCGCCCCCCGAGTGTTTGTTTGCTGTTTTTTTGGAGGAGGAGGAGGAGGAGGAGGAGGAGGAAGAGGAGGAGATTGAGGAGGAGGAGGAAGGAGGAGGAGGAGAAGTAATTTCCCCCCTGCAGAGGGACACGCCCCACTTGAGCCCGACCCTGTCGGGGACTCCGAAGGGGGCGGCCCGGCCAGGGCGCCGACGGCAGCGGCGGCACCCTTCGGGGGAGCGGGCGAGGACCTCGGCACGGAGGCCTCGCGGGGGCCACGCGGTGCGCCCCCCCCCCCCCCCCGAGGCCCTGCGGTGAGGTCGGGCACGTCCTCCTGCGGCGTGTGTGGGCACCGTCCTCCTCCCTCCTCCTGCCTTCTCCTCCTCACCCCCATCGTCTTCTGGAGCGTTCTTTTTCCCCTTCTCCTCCTCCCCTCCTCCTCCTCCTCCTCCTCCTCCTCCTCCCTCCTCCTCATCCTCCTCCTCCTCATGTTTCGTCCTCCTCCTCCTGCGTTCTCCTCCTCCTCGTCCCTCATCCTCCACCTCCTCCTCCTCCCCCCCCCCCGCAGGACGAAGAAGAAGGAGGGGCCGCTCCCGTACGGGATCCGTCGGGCACGTCCTTCGGCGGTTGACAAACCTCGCTTTAGCAAACCTCCCTTCAGTGAAAGCGGCCTGGGACCGACACCGACGGGCCTGGACCCGCAAACATGACGGCCGCGACGCCCTCTCGCGAACCGAAAACTGCCAAATCCTGAATCAACGTGTCAGGGTAGGAGGTCTATCAAAGATCGGCTTTGCACTAGGATGGGGTGCTGAGAGCGGGGAGGACCCTGCCAGCTCAGTTCCTCCTCCTCCTCCCTCCTCGTCCCTCCTCCTCCTCCTCCTCCTCATCCTCCTCCTCCTCCTCCTCCTCCTCCTCCTCCTCCTCCTCCTCATCATCATCATCATCATCATCATCATCATCATCATCATCATCATCATCATCATCATCATCATCATCATCATCATCATCATCATCATCCGCCTCGTCGTCCTCCTCCTCCGCCTTGTCGTCGTCGTCCTCCTCCTCCTCCGCCTTGTCGTCTGTCCATCCCCGATAGAGAAGCTCCGGCCGCCAGGCTGTGGCCCGCGCCGTGCGCGGCCCCGGCCGCGCCGCCGAGGCCGTGGTCGGCGTGGGCGCTCTGGCGACCGTGTGCGCGCGTGCGCTCGGGGCCGCCGGCGGCGAGCGGCTGCACCTCGCGGGGAGGGGGCGAAGTGCCGCAGAGGAGGTGCGGCCGACTCCTCCTCCCTCCTCCCTCCTCCTCCTCCTCCTCCTCCTCCTCCTCCTCCTCCTCCTCCTCCTCCTCCTCCTCCTCCTCCCCTCCTCCTCCTCTCCTCCTCCTCCTCCTCCTCCTCCTCCTCCTCCCCCTCCCCCCACCCTTCACCTCTCCTCCTCCTCCTCCTCCTCCTCCGCCTCCTCCTCCTCCGCCTCCCGATCCTCCCTCCATCCAGTGTCCTCGTAAGTAACTCCTCCACGTCGCATCCCGAGACGTGTCGGTAGGGCGGGCCGGGCATTTCACCGGAGACTTCCCCACCACTCACGATCCTGAGGCTGAAAGTTCGCAAGAGCTTCGCGGATGGAGGGCGGGCCGTTTTCAAAATGCGGATGTTGCCTCAGCGCCGCGCACATTCGTCTTCAAAGGTTCCAAGCGCTTCACGGATGGAGGGCGGGCCGCTTTATCAATGTGGCTCTCGCCTACGCGCTGTGCACATTCGGTCTACAAGTTTGCTGGAGCTGCTCGGATGGACGGCGGTTCCTTTTCAAATGCGTCTCTCGCCATAGCGCTGCGCACATTCGCTTGAAAACTGAAATACAGTGCCGAGGACTCTTCTGGTGGACGTCCCAATAATTTTCTGGTACGATGTGGGACAGTCGGGGCGCAATGATTACGGTGATTTTTCGGGCGCGTCGGATCTCGTGGAAGGTGGGGCAGTGACACCAGGGCGGCCAGAGCGACCGCGAGGGCAGGACAAGGAACGCGAGCAGCCGGGCCAAGACCGCACAGCGGGCCGGGTGGCGATGACGGGGACGAGGAGGAGGAGGAGGTGGTGGTGAGGAGGAGGAGGAGGAGGAGGAGGAGGAGGAGGAGGAGCAGGGGGAGGAGGAGGGGAGGAGGAGGAGGTGGAGGAGGAGGAGGAGGAGGAGGAGGGGGAGGAGGAGGGGGAGGTCAAGGGAGGAGGAGGAGGAGGAGGAGGAGGAGGAGGAGGAGGAGGAGGGCACCTGTGGCGCCAGAGGCAGGCAGCAGGCCCAAGCAGGGGCGCGAGGGGCCGGCGCGCACACACACACACACACACACACACACACACCACACACACACACACACATACACACACACACCACACACACACACACGCACACACAACAAACACATATACACACAGACAGACATTGTTTGGCGCTCCCGCTTCTTCCAGTCTGCCCCGCTCCTCCCTTGGCTTCTCCTCCTCCTCCTCCTGGGAGCGTGAATCCAGGTCGACCAAGACATACAACACAACACAACACACACAAATCACACGCACGCGCACACACACACACACACACACACACACACGCACGCACGCACGCACGCACGCACGCACGCACGCACGCACGCACGCACACACACACACACACACACACACACACACACACACACACACACACACACACACACACACACACGCACACTCACAACACAACACAACACAACACAACACAACACACACACACACACACACACACACAACGCACTCTTTGACACCTCGGATCTCGGGGAAGGTGGGACAGTGACACCATGGCGGCCAGAGCGACCGCGAGGGCAGGACAAGGAAAGCGAGCAGCCGGGCCAAGACCGCACAGCGGGCCGGGTGGCGATGACGGGGACGAGGAGGAGGAGGAGAAGGAGGAGGAGGAGGAGGAGAAGCAGAGGGGAGGGGAGGAGGAGGAGGAGGGGGGGGAGGGAGGAGGGGAGGAGGAGGAGGAGGAGGAGGGGGAGGAGGAGGGGGAGGTCAAGGGAGGAGGAGGAGGAGGAGGTCAAGGGAGGAGGAGGGCACCTGTGGTGCCAGAGGCTAGCTGCAGGCCCAAGCAGGGGCGCGAGGGGCCGGCGCGCACACACACACACACACAGAGACAGACATTGCTTGGCACTCCCGCTGCTTCCAGTCTGCCCCGCTCCTCCCTTGGCTTCTCCTCCTCCTCCTCCTCCTCCTCCTCCTGGGAGCGTGAATCCAGGTCGACCAGAACACACAACACACCACACACACAATTCACACGCACACGCACACACACAGCACTCACAACATAGCACACACACACACGCACACAGCACACTCTTTGGCACCGCGGCCGCGCGCGCGGCGGCGCTGCGCGGGAGGGGCCGAGGAGGCACGCGCACCGGCCCGGCTCACGGGGAGACGCTGGACCCACCCATAGGGAATCGGCAGCGGCACTCGCGGGGCCACGGGGGGGGGGGAGCAGCCGCGAGGGCACAGGCGGGGGATAGGGGGGAAGGGGACGGGGAACAATAGTGAGAAGCATAAGAGTACGTATACTAATAAGCATGAGAGTAAGAATGATAATAGGAATACAGGTAGTAGCAGTAGTAATAAGAAGAAGAACAAGACGACGGGTTATAATAAAATACATTATCCCAGTGCGACCCTACCTAGGAGTTGGAACCCCTAGGAAAGCAGCATTAGTAGTAACAGTAACGCTAAGCTAAAGCTAAGCTAAAGCTAAGCTAAAGCTAAGCTAAAGCTAAGCTAAATATAAGCTAAAGCTAAGCTAAAGCTAAGCCACAGCTAAGCTAAAGCCAAGCTAAATATAAGCTAAAGCTAAGCTAAAGCTAAGCTAAAGCTAAGCTAAATCTAAGCTAAAACTGAGCAACAGCTAAGCTAAAGCTAAGCTACAGCTAAGCTACAGCTAAGCTAAAGCTAAGCTAAAGCTAAGCTACATATAAGCTAAAGCTAAGCTAAAGCTAAGCTACAGCTAAGCTACAGCTAAGCTCAAGCTAAGCTAAAGCTAAGCTAAAACTAAGCTAAAGCTAAGCTACAGCTAAGCTAAAGCTAAGCTAAAGCTAAGCTAAAGCTAAGCTAAAACTAAACTAAACGCTAAGCGAAAAGCTAAGCGAAACGCTAAGCTAAAGCTAAGCTACAGCTAAGCTAAAGCGAAGCTAAAGCCAAGCTAAAGCTAAGCTAAAGCTGAAGCTAAAGCTAAAGCTCCCAGGGGACTGGGGGGAACCGCTCCCAGGGGACCGGGGGAACCGCCCGGGGCGTGTAGCACTGCCCGGCCCCTTTAAGCTAAGAGAGTAAGAACCCTTCTAGGCAGAGCCTAGGTAGGGAATGAGCACACATACCACTACGACTAACAGGAAGAACAATGAGAATGACCATCACAATGCGGAGACGAAGAAGAGGACGAGGAAGGAGAGGAAGGAGAGGAAGGGGAAGCCGAAGCAGCGAAACTGCGAACAAGGAGAGGGGAGGGGGGGGGTCGGCCCCGTGCCTCCCGAGCCTGGGCCCGCCCGAGGGCATTCGGCCCCCCCCCTCGTCCGCCCCAAAGGGGGGGGGGAAGGGAGGAGGAGGAGGAGGAGGAGGAGGAGGAGGAGGAGGAGGAGGAGGAGGAGACGAGCGTAGAGGGAGTCCCAGGGTCGATCCACCCGCCTAGGAGCCCCTCGGCACCTGGCGCTTCTCAACGCCCGTGGCGGAGGAAGACGAGGCGAGCGGACGCGCCTCGAGCGCAGGCGAGCGGGGCGCGCCTGCTGTTGTAGCTGGTGCACACGTGGTCGACGATGCCGTCGAAGTGCCGAGATTCGTTTCAATCAGAGAGCTTATTTCAATCTGCACAGGGAGCGCAGCGGTCTTTATATTCGGAGGACAGGGAGCAGCAGCAGGAGGGATCGAAGCAAAGGAGGAGGGAAGGAAGGACAGCGACGGGCAGGCGTGCACACTGTTTTCGGCGCACACGCTCACGCCGTCCTGTCCGCTGACCCCTGTTACGGGTGGGAGGCCACTCCACAGGTCGGGACGACCAGCGTTGGAACACTCACGCGAATCCCAAGAGGCGCAGACCCCAAACAGGCCAGCACGGGGAAACGCGGCGGCGGCACGAGCAGGAGGCGGCGGAGCACGCGGGGTGCGAGCACTGTTTGGAAGCTCCCCGCAGAAGGGCCCTCCAGGCCGAAACGCTGGGCTCACAGGAGCGCTGGCAAGGCTACCGAGGCTCGGGAGGCTGGGACCCACACCACCAGCAGCCACAAGCTCAACGGGTCCCGCGACCAGTCCAGGGGCACAGGCATCGTCGGGGTTTCGAGCGGGTACCTCAGTACGAGTGGATAGAGGCGAGCAGCCAGCAGCATAGTGGTAAGGTACGATCACAGACGGGGCCGCTCCAGGGCCAGAGACAACCGCCGAACCCGAAGTTGAAGCCGTACCCGAAGCACACAAGGCCGAGCTCGAAGTGTCTGCAGGGAGGACGCGCCCAGAACCAGCTCGAGACGCCAGCTCACAATTCACTCCTGAGCCCTTATTTCCAGCAGAGGCGGTCGACCTCCGTGCAAGAGACGTGATCTCACAACTTACTCCTGAGCCCTTATTTACATCAGAGGCGGTCGACCTCCGAACTCGAGACGCAAGCTCGCAACTTACTCCAGAGCCGTTATTTCCATCAGAGGCGGTCGACCTCCGCGATCTAACGCCAGTGGCCGCAGGGCTCGAGGAGCACCCTGCAGCAGAAACCTGTAAGAGGAAAGAGGCAGGGTCGTCGTCTCCAACTCCGTCGGCGTCATCACCATCTTCAGAATCCATTGCTGAGACAAGTGAAGCAAGGTAGCGGACCGATCCGTTGGCAGAGACGGTGGGCAGGACCTCGCCTCCACCTCTGTCCACAAGGAAGTCGCGTACACGTTGTGGCGCAGCCGGTCCCATGTATTGCCTCATCTCTCTGCGTATCTCACGAAGTGCCTGGTAATGTCGATCAGCCGCCTCCTCCCATCGCTCGTGTCGAGTCAAGGCGTGGCGAGGGTCATTCAGCCACCGAAGGTATGCCACAATGTTGAGGCGCCCCTCAAGAGAAGTGTCCCAGGCAATCGTGCAAATATGACGAGCAAGTTCGTCGAGTGTGCCACCCCAACCAGAAGAATCCACCCAATCCAACGCGTCTAATTTGGCGCGCACGTACGGGATGCACCACAGCAACCAGTCAGCACGGCCACTCTCG